GCGGCCACTGCACTCCAGTCTGGGCGACCAAGTGAGACTTCAACTCAAAAAAAAAAAGTCAATTAGCATTCAAGTAATGAAGGACGAGGGCCTTTGCTGAACCCAAAGCAGAGAGGTTGGAGTGAAGGGGCTAGATTTAGCAGTGAGAATCAGTAGCCAATTTGGTGTGTGTTGTGAAGGAGGAGAGTCAGTCAAGGGAGCCATGATGTCTTTACTGAGTCCCATCATGGTCAGTGGTGTTAAGCAAAATAAGAATAATGGGAAGAGAATCCATTTTATGGAAGAAACTGAGTGTGTTTGAGGAGTTGACTTGAGGTACCATAGGACGTTAAGTGGAAATGTCTATAAGTAGTTGAAAATTTTATACATAGATGTAGATTCCAGGAGAAAGGTGGAGGAAAGTGGTACCCCAGAAATAAAGTCCATGAATGCAGTTGAAGTGATAGGAAGAGGCTAAGGATGAGAAGAGGAGCAACCAGTCCGGGTGGACCCCAGACACATAACAGCTCTTCTGTTTTTCTCTCCTCACTAGTGCCTTTCAAATCTTACATGGCCAACCTCTCCCTTTGTCCATTGAAAATGGTGAGTTGCAGCTTATTCTTTCATTCTAATTTCTAAGCAACATGCTTGGATGGTAGATGAAAAAAAATTTCTGGAAAGGACCTTTTATTATTTTATAGCTCAAACCAAGCAGGTTTTTTCCTGGGAGCTAGGTGCAGAAAAGGAATGCATGATCCATGTGGTCAAAGTCCTTTATAGAGGCTCTGCTGACTATTTTTAGAGTGAATGTGAAGATGAAGTGCAGGAGACACGGCTGGAAAAGCAGACAAGGGGGTGGGGGGGGGAGGTGAGGAGGAACCACAGGGCTTAGAGAGACCTCTTGCCTTGCTAAGAGGAAAGGAAGCTGATTCCTTAGGATGCCACTTCCCAAACTCCAATCACCCCTCTCATGGTTTTCGCAAGATTCCCCACACCATCTGCGCAATTATTTACTTAATTTTTTTTCTCTAAATCAATTTACTTTTTAAACCTAAAAACATGTTCTATACAAAACAGGCAATATCACTTTTTAAAATGGAGACCCACATCAATTACAATACATATTTAAAAGGATTTGCCTTAAAAGTTAAAAGCTTCAATCATAAAAAAAAATTAAAAGTGATTGCTTCTAGCTAGCTACTGTTGCTTGCCCAGGGCTATGAACTTGAGACCTGTGTGTGCTCATTCTCTCTCCCTCTGTCTCTCCCCACCCCTCCCTGCCCCCCCCCCATGGAGAAATGCGATAAGCAAGCATTCTCAAGGTGGTAAAGACATGCTAGTACCAAACTCAAGTTTTCTTCTTTCTCACTAAGTAATTTAATGCTCTTTAATCTTGGGTACTACTGGTGGCATTTACTCAACCCTTTGGATAACTTGTCTGGAATAAATGCTAAGAGGAGGTGAAGGGAGTGATTAGGGTCTAGACAACCCATTTCTGAATACAGCCCATTTCCAGCCTCTTTCCTTGGAGCCTATGACAGTCAAAACTCAGAGTCCATTCTCTCTGGTGTAAGATTCCCTGAGAGCATTGTATTGAATCTTTAGGCATCAGTTTCCATGCTGTGCTCTTGGTGAGATTGACTATGTGAGATTTGAAAGGCACTAGAGAGGAGAGAGAAACAGAAGAGCTATTGTATGTCTAGGGACCACCTGGACTGGCTGCTCCTCCTCTCATCTTAGCCTCTTCCCATCACTTTAACTGCACTCAAGGACTTTATTCCAGAAGCACTACTTTCCCCTACTTTTTTCCTGATTCCTATATCTAAATAAAATTTTCAACTAACTATACACATTTCCACTTAATATTTCAACTGATCAGTGGTAAGAGGAGAACCAAAGAGGCTTAGGGGGCAGAGAAAATGAGTAGGATAGAACCAGATGACCCCACATATATTGACAGGAAGAAGCAGCATGGCCATGGCCTCTGGCTGGTGGAGCCCGTGGGAAATACCACTTAGAAACCATATGTCTTGCTCACTTAGCAGCACCATCCCCAGAGAAGAGACCCCATGGGCAATCCATCATGTGCCCTTGTGCTTTATGTACAGTGATGTGCACTGTGCCCATCCATCATCAGGGAGAGAGATTGCAGCTTAACAAGACCTGAGGATGAGTATTTCACATCACTTATTCATTTGTTTCTAAGATCTGACTTTTCAGGACACAACACAAGTTTGAATCATTTGAAATGTTTCGAAAAGAAAAAGACAACTCCCATCTTCCATCTGTTATGCTGATGGGGATGTTGTTCCGATCTCTTTGCTTTCATCAAATTAATTGCCCGTCCCTTTGCAATGGCTGAAATGTAAGGATACAGATTCTGCCGGGAGAACAGTCTGACTCTGAATGGTGATGAGGAATATATGCATACAATTGTCATTCTTCTGGAAAGAGAGGTGTGCTTGAAGGTTTGCTCACTTGTCCAGGGGTGTAGCCAATGTCGAATGTTTGCTTGGACTGTTTGAAGTGAGTGCTAGAAGAATGCAAACATTCCCAGACTTGTTGGAAGGTTATAGTTTAGCCAAATATTGTCACTTTTAATTCAGCTTAGAATATCAGAATGTCAGAACCAAAAGGCACCACTGGGACCATCTAATTAAAGGCCTTCATTTTTCAAATGAGGAAAATGACTTGTCCAAAGCCAGGTCATGAAATTCACAGTATATAGGGACACCGCCACTTGCTCCTTTTTACTTACATAAGCCAAATTTTAAAAAATCACTTTGTGGTAATAAAAAATACATCCTCTCGCTGCTGAGGAGAAGAGAGACAATCTCAAATTTAAATGGAGGTTAGTTCAAATTAATTCTTCTTGTTTGTGATAAATAGTCCTTTATCCTCCCTGTCTAGACATTTAATAATTTTTGTCCTCCTAGTGATTAGAAATTTTGCTTAAGATAGGAGATGAAAAAAAAAAAAGAAGCAAAAAGGGAGCAATTGATGAGACTACCTGATTTTCTAGACTTTTTCAGGGCTCCCTTTTGTGAAAGGAGACTTCATATTGAGGTGAAAGGCATTTCTTGAGTAATTCTGAATCTTCTGTTATTTGGTGATCCCTGTGACTCCTTGGTGTAAGAAATTGACAGATTCAATGAGAAGATGCCCACAGCCCACCCAAGTGTTAGCACCTCCTGTCCCAGGAACCTGGTCTTTGCTAGAATTAAATCTCAGACTTCTGCCAGAAAGAATGAAAAAAATTTTAAAAGAAGCTGCAGGCAGCCCAGTTGGGCTTCAGTGTGCTCAGGCCCTGAGCTGCCATACTCATTGTAGAGAGAAAAGTAATAGAGAAGTCAAAACTATCCACTTTGGTCCAACAAAATTAGATGTCATCAACTGAAATGACTGCCTTTGACCACTTTTCTACTGTGCCACCAAAAGTGGGCTTCCAGCTAAGGGGCATTGATCTTTCTGGTAATAACAATAATAAGCCCTGGGACTATTTTGTAGTTTGCAGAGGTTTGCAGTTACAGAAGGCATTCACAGATATTATTTTATTTGGTCCTCATGGCAACTCTGAATAGGGATAATTGTTCCCACTCTGCAGATAAGGAAAGTGAGCCCAGGTCAAGTCAGCTGACGTCAGATTTGGGGATTAAAACAGAGGTCTTTGACTCCAAGTTTAGTGCTCTTACCACTCACTCTATGATGTTTCCCTTTTATGACCTATAAAAATCGATTGCAGCACATTTACCCTGTGCAGGAAGGAAATGATGTATTTAGAAATAAACACGAAGTGCTTAGCACAGTTCTTGACCCGTGGTAAGTGCTCGGTATAGCTTGACATTACTGTTGAGGAAGAGGCAATTTTGGGGAATAATGATGATCACAGGTTTGGGATTTGAAAAATCTGTGAGTCCCACGTCTGTCCCTTTCTGCTCTTAGACAATGCTCTATGTGAGCTCAGCCAAGTGGCTTAACTTGCCTGAGGATGAAATGAGATGCAATGTGCCTGCCACATTTGCCACGCATCTGGACTTAGTGTTTGGTGAGGGTAGGGAAGATGACTTCAAAGGGAGTTGCTCATTGACCTTGTGAGGAGACAAACTGATCCCTGCTTTGGAACCAGATGCTAATGTTTCATAATGAAACACCTTGTGTTTTAAGTCTCAAGTATTCAAAGCCCTCCTGTCTTTGCCTGTCTCTTGACTTTCTGCTTCTAACAGAGTTTGCTAGAGCGTTCAGTGGACCCAATGGCTTGTTTCGTGGTCTGCAGAGCAGGCCTCCCCTGTGGTTGGGTACCTGTATATAATGCACGCCGTGTTCTGGCAGGTACTGCAGTTGTTGAGATCTTGGCCAGTTCGATAAAAGTTGCGCCTGCAAGACAGAGCATTTTCTGGATAAATCTATGGGCAAAAGCCACGTGGGCTGCACACATTCCACTGACTGGTCCCTTGGTCCCCACAGCACAGCATTCATGAGCCTCTGAAGTTGCGTGATCATTGCAAATAAAACCACAAGAAAGTCATGGCAGGAGATCACATTTCTAGAGGGCTTTCTACATGTTTAAACACTGTTCAATCTGAGGGTTTTCCCATGCTGACAACAGCTTGTGAGATGAGGGATTTGTCAGGTGAGTAGAAGGAATTTGATTGAAGCTCCTGGGCCTTTAGCTCAGTGCATTTCTCTCTGTATCAGCACGGTGTTTCTCTCTTATGAGGCAGTGTCAATTCTGGTTCATAACAGCAAACACCAGTTAATTACTTCTCTCTCCTGCCCCTTTTGATGTGCCATTGCTTCTTTTCTGTCTTTAAAGAGCACTTTCTAGAGGCACAAGCACTCCACACCTAAACAAATAACTGCCTTTCCCTCTCAGACTGGTGCTGAGTCACCCAGGAAAGCTTTTTGTGACTTTTTTCTCTTTATAGAATTGTCATTTCATTTCAGTTCCACGTAGTTGGTAAGTGAGGGATCAGCCCAAGTTATCCAAGTGGTTAGTACAGGGCAAAGTCAATAGTAAGCTTAGTGGCCATCTCAAGTCCTTTGTGAGAAACACACAAAGAACTAAAATACTGTGCAAATGCCGTGACTTGCTAAGAGGATGGGATGGGGAAGTACCTTCTTGCTGTGATTTTTTCTTTCCCCAAGATTTATCAACAGGACCCTTATCTTTATAAAAATCATTTTGGATCCTGCTTCTCCATTGCTGCCTTTCTCCAATCTGTTAACATCTGAAAGCAAAAGAAGCAATGGGAATCCACACAAATCCAACAAAAGTCTAGAATGAAAGGTAACCCAGTCAGAGCAAATGAAGACCATTGGTTATGATTTTGGGGAACAACAGTAATTCAAACATTTGGGGGACATTTTCCTAATGGAAACCAGTGATCTCTTTCTGCCCCTGCCTTGGCAAATTAATTCACCCAGTGGTTTTCAATATAAAAATATATTTTCTTACCCTTCAGTGAGAGCTCGAGCTTTCTCCAAGTCTTGAATTACATTCAAAAGGACTTTAATTTTCTCTTGGTTTGAATGCAGAGATTCTTCCACAGATTGCAGCCGGCCCTGAAGGTCACAGAGTTCACCCCGTGCCAGATGAATCTGATTAATGTCACTAATCTCCTTGTTGCTCTGAAGTTTGGTCTCATTCCTTGGAAGAGAGGATGGGAAGTGATTGCTTCCTGGACAATTTTGAAACTCCAGGGTGTCTGACTGGGTGGGGTTCTTTGCTATCTGCTCCTGACTCCCAGGGGCAGATTTTGATGCACTGTTAGTTTTGAGTGACACCAGATTCTGGTGATTGCTACTCGATGAAGGACAGTCTGAGGTTCCTCCTGGCTGGGCTGACTGGCTGTGAGAGCCTGGTGAGGGGGAGCTATGAGTCTGTGGAGATGAGGGAACACATGTGTCCTTTGACTGAGATGATACTGGGCCAAGGTCTTTGTCATCGGTGTTGTCTTTGGGCAAAAGCAATTCAGGTGTAAGTTTCTCTGTGCCTGGTGTATGGTTGGCTCCGCTGGTGGCGTTTAAGCAAGAAAGGGATCTTTCTGGATCTGCTGGAGTCGCCCTTCTCCCATCACCTGGACACGTGTCGACCAAAGGGTGTATAGAGTTACTTATTTCAGCCGACCTGCCTGGGCTGAGGGTGGACTCTCTGGCTACCCAGGAAGGGCTCTGATAAATATCATCTGGGACCTGAATGGCAGCTGTTGCTTTCTCTAAGGACCTCCAAGTTGCTGCTTCCAAGCATATGTTAACAGGCCCGTTGCTTTGCACCTTGGACACCCTAGGGAGAAATGGGTGGGACACCTTGACCCTTCGAGGGCCATCCTCGAGATGCTGAGCCAACCTTAAGTAGGCAAGGTCAGAAGACACAATGTCCTGTTCAGAGAGGTTGCCATTGACCTGGATGGCACTTTGGGATGCTGTTGGCATTTCTACCAGGGACTTACTGGCCGTGAGTTTCTTCCTTTTGAAAACTGGGAAATGCTTCCTGAGGCTGGGGGATGTTTGGATTGCGATGTTCCGAAAGCCCCCTGCCTTCTGGGACCTGGGGAAAGAGAGCGAGTAGGTGGGGGGGTGGTGGTGCCTGGATGCTTGAGTCTTCCCCATCACAGCAGAGTCTTCAGGAGTCTGGATGTCGACCTCAGCTAGGCCAGTTGGATTCTTAGTGGTCCCATCTTCCTTGAATCTCACCTGCTGGGATTTGCTCCTGCGATGGTGAGGTTGTTTCACAAACTCCACTGACTCTAGACTGTTACGCTTTAGAAGCACAGGTCTCACTTTCATATTTTGCTGGGCCATTGAGCCTCAGTAGAAAAGACTGGGACCATACACTTCTCCTGGGTACATCTCCCTTAGGTCTTTGGAGCAGCAGCTAATAATGATGGCATCTCAGACATGGAGAACTGCCAGCCGGGATGGAGAGGTCCTCTCCTCTTAGTGTGGGAAGCCCTTTTGGCCATCCCCAGCCTCTGGACTCTACGTAGTAGCCATTCATAATGCTTCCCCTGTAGTTAAAATATTATTTCGTTGTAGTCATAATTGCTACTTAGAAAAACAATGAGTTAGCCTAACTACTAAACCTCTGATCTACCAAGAGAGCTGGTGGGTTGTTTGTCAAGGGAGGCCAGCAGGCAGTTCTGATCTTGGAAGAAGCTGGCTGTCTTGAACAAAATGACAACAAAAGTACCATTTAGGGGATAACACCAGACTCCCAAAGAGTGAATTCCAAAAGAAACCTGCTATATCTGAAGCTTATGGCTTCCCTTCCCAGAGCATTAATTTCCAGTGTAGAACTACAGGAAACTTAAGCATATCTTTCCATAGCATGTAAGCAGGCAGAGAAATACATGACCAGGGGATTTGCTGCTTTGGTGATACATGATGCTCCCAAGGGACTGTCTTCATTTATGTCAATCACAAAGCCCTCCTTTGGGGCCATTGCTTTTTTTCATGCTGTCTCTTTTTTTCAGTGCTCACCTGTCTTCCTAAATAGCCTTACGAAACCGGGTGGGGTGTGACCAGGACAGGGCTGACACATCAGAGGGCAGAGTCCTTGTCATAGCGCCTTGGCAGAAGTTCACATGTAGGCTAAGAGAGCCATGTCTGCTGCCTCAGGGATGCTGGACGTTTACTTGGATTTGGGGGTCAGGGTCTGAGACCAGGCAGTCTTTGTAAGCAGGAAGCAACCCCTGAAAAGGGAAGAGACAACAGTCGCCACTGAGATTACAGTTTCTGTGGACTTCTGAGTTCCTCTCCAAATTCCAGTGCCTTGGCTAAGTATTTATGAATGGAGGGTCTAGCAGCAAGTCGACCACGCTGCACTTCTTTCTGTTCTCCTAGTGAGCCAGGCTCTTTGCGGGTACAGGATCTTCTAATAAAACGCCTGAAAGTCTGGATCCCTTCCTCCCTCCACTCCCAGGCACCACTCAGCCAACTCCTATGCATCCGTCAAGTCCCAGCTTCAATGGCACTTCCTCAGGGCACCTTTACAATTACTTCCCTGTTATTCACAGCCCAGTGCTAGACAATATCAGGGCCCTCAGTATGCATTCTCATCACATTCTTCCCGCATGAATTGCAGCTACCATGAAATAATCCTCCGTGTACATATTGATATAATGTGTATCTCCTCTAATGCCCTGTGAACTCCAGAAGGGTAGGGTTGGAGCCTTCTCACTCACTGCTTGGGTGTTCCCTGCCACTTTGGGTCTCACTGTAGGTGCTTAGTGAAAGAGGGTTTGACTGCATGAGGGGCGGGTCTTTTGGAAGCAGAAGCGAGCCTGGGATGAATTGGGGTGGAGGTCCTAGCGTGTCAGGGCAGCAGGACCCTTGGATTCTTTGCTATGACTGCAGCGTTTACTTAAGGATAAGATTCTCCCAATAGCTTCCTTTCTTATGATTCAGGAGATGAGTGGCCAGGAGGTTCTCTGAGGAATATGTACCTTGTAACATTTATTGAACACTTACTTTCACCATGCTGAGGACTTCACATGCATTACCATAACTATATGTATTTGCCAAGTAAGTATATGTGTGACAGGGACTGTTCTAAGCGCCTTCCTGACCACAATTCATTTCTTAATCACAAACTGCCCTATAGAGGCAGACACTGTCACTGACCCCATTTTACAGTTGAAGAAGCTAAAGCCCAGAAAGGTTAGGTAGTTTGCCTGAAGATATCCCACTGCCTTTCCAATATTGAATTATTTTATTTAATCCTTACAACAAATCTACCAGGTATCCTTATTCCCCTTAAACTGATGAGGAAACTGAAGTTCAACAAGGGTAAGTACTCAGTAGAGGAGCTGGAATCCAAACCCAGGTGTCTGTAGTTCCAAAGCCCACGCCCTTAACCATGACGTTATGATTCTGTCCTTTTGGGGTCTGCCTGATATGTGGACAGATGATATCAGTGATTTGAGGACAAGATTTAAAGGCCTTTGATGATCTAGAGAGATACAGGGAAGTAGTCTCCTGCCTTGCTATGGCAAAGCAAACCAGAGGGTTTGCTGCAAGTCGGAGAAAGCCCAATGGCCCTAGGAGGAGGTGAGTTTCAAACCTATCTGGGTTGACCAAGGGATCTTAAAAGAAAATAGGAGTGATAAAATAGTTCACAAGCGTTTGGATATCTCTGAGAAGGTTTTCTGTCTGCAGCACTCAGCCTTATGCAGATCCAAACTCTTGCTCCAAAATGGGGACTGTGAGTAACATTTTCCATCGTGCTGTCTGGAGTGTCCACTTAGTAGGTGCAACCCAAGCTTTGGCTCTGTCTTCTGCTTTTCTGGGAATTGCTAAATAATGTCTGTGGTGACCTTGGCTTTTTCTGCTCCCAGCTGCCTTAAGAGGGTTCAACTAACCAGTGGCTGGGTGAGTATGTGGCAGGCCCTGAAAGAACTAGGATTCATCTAAAATCCTATTGAGTTGTCAACCTGTCATTAGCCCCTGCAACTCACTACTCCTCACATTCTGAGTGTTCCTCAGAACTGGGTTCAAACCCTGCCCCTTGCAGGCTGAAGGCCTTTGTGTTTGGCTAATCTGTAAAATGGAGATGACACTCACAGCCTAGACACAGACTCATGGCTCTGATGAGGAGACGTCAGTGAGAGCCCACGGGCTCTGTAAGCCCCAGGGGTGGATGAACCCCCATCTTCAGCTTCTCCAGAGCAACTAGAGCCTCTCTTGGGACTGAAGGAGCAGAGTTTGGGGGAACCACCTCATTTGCCTCACCTTTCTTACAAGGCTTACAAAGCAAGACTGCCCAGCTTCACAGCCACATACCTCTCTGGGGAGATAATCCTGCCAGCCCTGGGTTCCTCTATTACTCAGCATAACAATCCCAAACAACCTTACTTGTTAAATCTGTGTTTCAGTGACTTTGTGTAGGACTTTTCATGGCTAGAAAAATCCGCTAGTTCATCTCCTCGTTCCATGACTAAGTCCTCCCTGCATTTTCCTCTGCAAGTAGTAATTAAGAATGCCTGGATACCTGGAGTGACAGGGAGCTCTCTACCTAATACCATAGTCAATAAGAATTGTTTTCATTGATCATAGAAAACACGTATTAAAAACTTACTGTAACCAGGTGGTGTGTTAGCATGTGTCATTTAATTCTCAAACTGATCTTCTGTGATCCCCATTTTGCAGAGTGAGCGGTTGATGTTTGTGAGATCACCACATGCCTGAAGCCATGAAGCTCATGCCCTTCTTCACCTTTGTGCTGTAGATCCTAGAGATTTATATTTCTAGGGTTTATATTTCTTTTGGGGGGTTTCTCTGCCTAATTATTCCTTACTTTCTCCTTAACACACACGAGCACTTCATTCTGGGAGCATTAACTCACGTAGGCTACAGTTGTCTAAAGCTGGTTTTCATAAGCATTTATGTCTAGTGAACATTAGTTATGTGCCAGGCATTGTGATAGGTGTTTTTCCTTTATTCTTTTCCTTTATCTTATGACACTCTTTTTTTTTTTTTTTTTTTTGAGTTGGAGTCTCACTCTGTCGCTGTCGCCCAGACTGGAGTGCAGTGGCCGCTCCCGGCCACCGCAACCTCGACCTGCTGGGCTCCGGCGATCCTTCCGCCTCAGCCTTCCAAGTAGCCGGAATTACAGGCATGCGCTACCACGCCCGGCTGATTTTTTTATTTATTGTAGAGATGAGGTCTCGCTGCCCAGGTGGGTCTCGAACCCACGGGCTCAGGCAATCCACTCACCTCAGCCTCCCAAAGGCGTGGGATTATAGGCTGAGCCGGCATCTTATGACACTCTTAAAGGCAGGTGCTATAAGTCCCCTATTGTATGAATGAGGGAAGCACAGAGGTTAAAGTATTTGCACTAAGTTGCTCACCTGGTAAAGAAGCTGGCATTTGAACCTAAGGACTGACCCTAGAGCACACCTCCTAACCAGTGGGACTTCCTGTCTTCTCCAGAATTGAGGAGGATCAAGCTTTTTGTGCAAGGCTAACAAGCAGGTTTCAAACTCCTTCCACATTTCCATTCTGAAAGTCAACCATTGTCCTAGTTTTAGCCCTGCCTTTTCTCCAGAAAATTTTGGTACCCTTTAGATGTGTTCTCTTGATCTTTAAAAACGTAGTATAAATATACTATGTTTATTGTAAAAATTCAAATAATACCAATAAAAAAAGGATGAAAAAAATTTTCTGAAGTCTTATCACCCAGAAAGAGCCACTGTGCACGAATGATTTAGTGGTTCATTCTGGGTATCTTACTGTGCAATGCTTGCATATGCGTTGCATGTACAAGTTCATGGTTGGAATGCCCTTTTTTCCCTGAACAACCTGGAGAAAGGTACACATTTTGGTGTATAGTTCATGTCGTCCTTTCAGTAGGCTAACAGGACTTTGTTGTCTAGTTATTCCATGACCTATTTAAAGTAGTACTTTTTAATGGATATTTAGGTTGTTTCCAAATATTTTGTATTATTAATAATACTATCAATAACTTTTTTATGGTATGTGAACCCTGGAGCACTTGTCTAATTATCTCTTTGAAATGAATTCCTAGAAGAAGAATTAGTGAGTAAAGTAGCCAAACATTTTACATTTTGTTGATATCACCACTTGACCACTTTTCATTCTAGAAAGTTCTAATGTGGTGGGATGCAGTGGTTCAAGCCTGTAATCCTAGCACTTTGGGAGGCTGAGGCAAGAGGATTGCTTGAGATGGAGTGAGATCCAACTAAAAAAAAAAAAGAAAGTCCTACTGATGTGCAATCCTACTGTTACTGCATGGGAAGGCCTTTTCACCAGAACTTCTTTGTCACTGAATTTGGTCAGTTTATGATGATTTTAAAAAAGTCATTGCCAATAAAGTAGAAGAGAAAATTGTATTTTATTGTCTTGACATAGAATTTATACAAGATTGGACATTTTTTCATATGTTTATTGGTTTTATACTACATTTGATATAGGAGAAAATTTAAAAGTTGAAAATGAAAAATTTTAATGATCAAGTAAATGTGGAAACTTTTATGTCCTAAATAGATCCTAGGAAGTTTAGGAAAAATAAACTTTCTACTTAAAAAATGTTTAACTTATGTCCTAACTCTTCTGCCCTCAATGTTCACTATAACCTTTGCACGTACACATCCTGAGGGATACACCTGGCTAGAAGGAGGGCCTCCCTAGAGCCCCTTAAGTCTCACAAACTCCCAGCTGTCTCTTAATTCATAGGGAGTTCCTCAGGCCTGGATGGTTAGGGCTTAATTAATATCTTGGCCAGAGTCCAGAATCACTCCCTGGAGGTGGTCACAGCAGCCACTGCATACCCAGTGACTGGGAGTTTGCAATACTTCATTCTATCCTCCCTCAATTATTGACTTAGTGAACATGAACTGACTGTTTATGTTCCAACTATGCCTTTGGTCCCCATTGAATGGTCCTCATGGAATCAGTGTCCATTAGTAGATTCAGAAACACTTAACATTATCTCTGTAGGTCACAAACTGCAGGCTTTCTTTGGAATGCACTCCCACTTCCTTTTTCTGGCATGTGGGTAGGTAATACAGTGAGAGGTTAA